ATGGATTACATTTAGGGCTTGCAGGGGATCACCAATATATAAATGCAGGACTAGCCATCATGTTAAGCTCCACATGGCTCCAAAGGACACGTCATTTGGAACTTGAGACTGTAAGTTTATGTTTAAACTGAAATATCTGTTGCCATATATATATTTCTTAAATCATTAAATAAGAATATTCCCTTCCTTTTTTTTGTGATTGGATACAGAGTAGTTTGCCTGAGAGATTCATCAAAGGGCTAACAAGTGCAAATTTACAAGGAAGAGCTCAGATTATTCCTGACAAGGTATCTGAAGGTGATTTGGTGTTTTATTTGGATGGAGCACATAGTCCTGAAAGCATGGAAGTCTGTGCAAATTGGTTTTCCATAGCAATTGGTGATGATAACTCCAAGAAGGACTCTGCACAGGTTAGGGTTTAGTATTTTTCTAAAACTTTGTATGAATATTTAAAACTGTGTAAGATGAATTTTGACATTTTGTAATTTTGTATTTGAAGATATTATTGTTCAATTGTATGTCGGTGAGGGACCCACAGTTGCTGTTTCCACGGTTGGTGGACACGTGTGGTGGACATGGTAAGTAAGTAAGTATTATGAGTTATGCATTTTATTTATAATAATATTTGGTTATATGATAATAATATTTCAGGTGTAAAGTTTAAAAAGGCGATATTTGTGCCAAATATGTCGGTTTACAACAAAGTTGGATCCAGCTCATCATCTTTGCCACAAACTGATTTAAAAGAAGTTGATAATTCATGGCAGCTGACACTTGGAAGAGTATGGGAGAACATTATATGCTGTGGTGAAAGTGAAAGTGAAACAGGTATATTACATAAAATTAGTATTATCCTGGTAAAATTAGTTGAGAATGATTTTTTTTTTTTTTTTTTTATAATAATTATTATCAGGAAGTTGTGAAAGTAAAAATAGTATGGTGTTTTCATCACTTCCATTGGCGATAAAATGGTTGAGAGACACTGCCAAACAAAATAAGTCTGTTCGGCTACAGGTATGTTCATCCTCTTTCTTTTACTGATAAGTTATAATGATAATAATAATAATAATAATTATTATTGTCTGCTTTTGCTTCATGTATTATATTTATTTTTGGAAAATATTATTAGGTCTTGGTTACTGGTTCGTTGCATTTGGTGGGTGATGTTATGAAATTAGTGAACAAATAACTTAACAAACTCAAATTTCTTATAAGTTACAACAGCAAAGATGGATTTAACATTTATTGTAGTTTATGTTTCGTTGTATTTGTTTCAAAAAACAATCTAGTGTTTATTAGTGTTATTGTATTTGTTTATGATACTTAGATTGGTTTTTTGTAAAATATTACTGCCATTGATTACTATTATTTTTATCAGAATTGCGGTCATATTATGGGTGTGTTTAATGTATTTTTTTAAATGTTGGAGGTTATCTACATAACCAATCTCCCTGGGGAGCTTTTTCAAATAAGAATTTTTGGTATTATATCAACAAAGTAAAAACCTAAACGCCTAGTTCTCGAGTTTAAACAAAGAAAAGCAGAGAAGGGAAAAGAAAGTAAAGAGAGAAAAGAAGAGAAAGGAAAGAAAAATAAAATTTTCTTTTGTGATTCCGAGAAGTTGATTCTTTATTTTCAAATCCTTCCAAAAATCCCCCAAACGAAATTAAAACAGGGGTTAACCTTGCCTCCGCCTCCGTCCCCGCTCCTGATTTTTTTTTAAAAAATCCCCCAAACGGGACGGGCCCCCCATGGGAACGGGGTCCCACGGGACTTTTTGACATCCCTAGACCTCCGTATGAACTTTTGTTTCAGTTCAGATTAGGACTATAAATCAACACCTCAAAGGTTTGGAGCAGGTGGGTAAGAACCTTAAGGTGGAGCCAACAAATTTTTGGTGGTTGTATTGACCAGTGGGATGGTGAGGTTTGATTTTGATTTGTTGTAGGTTTGATTTTGATTTCCACCTATGATATGATCAAGAAGAAGAAGTGGGTATCGTATTTTTTTCTTTTTTCCAAACCTTCTTCAATGGATCGACAATTGATTTTGATCCAATTGAAGAACGAATTACACTTCAGAACAATCTTAATTATACTTTATTTCCATATTAATTGTGAAGAAAGAGAAAGTTAGTGATCCATAGAAACAAAGACGAGAGAGAGAGAGAGAGAGAGAGAGAGAGAGAGAGAGAGAGAGAGAGAGAGAGAGAGAGAGAGAGAGAGAGAGAGAGAGAGAGAGAGAGAGAGAGAGAGAGAGAGAGAGAGAGAGGTGGGGATACTTTTTTTCTTTTTTCTTTATTTTCTAATTAAAACAACATTAAAATAGTTATAAAAAATACAAAAAAGAAAATAAAAGGGTATAATCATCTTTTTAAGTTTTTTTTTAACCAAAAACCCAGAAAAACCTTGATTTTGAACATTCCATGCAAATTAGAAACTTTTTGAACCCCATCCAAAGGTTTTTGAAAACTACAAGAACCAAATTTGCACTTTTGTCTAAATATCCATTTTGAAGTGTTAAATTTCACAGTTTTAACAAATATTTGATTTTATGTCTTAATATCATAAACAGTTCACATTTATTATATTTGTTCAACTTTTTAAGTGATTTGAGTAAAAAAATTAACTTTTTTCTTGAAATTCAAAAATTATTCATTGGATTTTAGATTTTTTTTTTGAAATTCCGATTTTTTTAACTCCGAATTTCAATTTGAAATCCAAAATGTTAGCTCAGAATTATTTTTGCTGAAAATAATTCTTGTGGTTATTTTCTTCAAAAACACAGATTATATTATCATAGATTACCCAATTTCCCTTATTAAAATTTACATAGCTTATTGACTAAATTAATTCTTTTTTAAAACTCTTGTTGTGGATGCCTTTGAGGGAGGTATTGATGTATTATTGGCAAGGCGATGTTATAATTCCAAATTATTATTTTTTCATATTAAATGAGCTTTAAGAAAACTAAATAAATTCATTGCAAAATACTAATTTCAAAACCTGATTGTTGATTTAAAAAAAAAAAACTATAAATGGGATTTCAAAAGTAAATATAATTTGAATAACTGCAAACATTAATCGCCATTAGAAAACATTCCAAAATTACCTAAAAGTAACAACAAACAACATGAATCATTTATGTTCATCAACTTTAGATAAATCAGAGTTTCCATCACATCCTATATACATAAACATGTTCTACCACTCACTCGTCTCACCTCTTAAAAGTCAAAACGTTGACTTTTCCATTTTCTTTCCTTCTTTCCCAAAGACCAAAATCATCAAACTTCAGTACAACCACCAACAAAAACCCTCCTTTCCTTCCACATCAAGTAACTTTTCATTTTTTCAAACCATAATACTTGATTTCTCATTGCAAAATCACACAATTTGTTCATTTTCATAACAGTGGTTAATTGCAATGACAAGTCAAACATAATGGTTCAAAAAGTCAAGTCAACTTATAAACACAGTCCCACACACACACACACAAGTAAATTGTTAAATAATGCTCACAAAAGCTGTCGAAGTTCCTGATTCTCTTTACGCAACAACTGAATTTCCTTCATAAGCTCTGCCTGATTTTCCAAAATCGCCCTCATTGCATTCGACGTTTGCATCTACAAAACAAAAACACACATAATGAGTGAAACATTTTATATAAAAGATTAACAAAAAAAAACACAAACCTCTTGCATATGAAATTGTCTTAGAACTTCAATATGAAGATTTCTAACATCTTCATGAATCGATTTCTGAAAAGAACCAAGAGCTTCATCAAGAGTCCCTTGAAACAGTTGCAGAGAAAACGAAGATCCCTGTTGTGAACTATTTGTTTTCTGTCCTTGTGTATCCAATGCACCCTGTCTCACAAAAACCACAATTTACAAAAATACCCTCGGAAAAAAAAAACCAAAAAACTTAAATTTAATCCACTCACATTCATGGATTCCATGGCAGCCGATGACATGTCATGCCTAGGTGTCAAGCTATTTAAAAGCTCTTCTCTCGTTTCACCTCCTGTTTTCTTCATCATTTTTGGGGACCCCACACCCACAGCTGTTGAAGTCCCATCACTAAAAGACGGATTGGTGCTTATCCTCTCTGCATAACTTGAAAATCTTCGTGTTGGAGTTGAAGATTCTAAGCTCCCTTTTATGCCAACTGAAAGAGAGGCCAAAGGGCTATCTTGATTAGATGTTGATGAGCTGTCATACACACGGAGATTAGCTAATGGTGGCAACCCTGAACTAAGATCCTCAAGTCCAGTCAGCATAGACCCTGTGGAGGATGATGTCATCGCTGCAAATCGTGAAGGTAGTGACACTTGCTGACGTGGCGGACGGATGAATTTATCGGATAATCTCTCTCCACCCCATGCTTCTGGAGGTGTAATGGATGATGGTTCTTCACTTTTTGGAGAAGAAGATGGTGGTTGAGAGATTGGTGTCTGGTTGTCATCCTGTGTAAATTTTGCAATTTTGTAATTGTTTAAAAAAAATGTTACATATTGTTTACATTAATTACCTGTGTTAAAGTGGAGCTAGGTTTCCAGTCAAAAATGGAGTGAGGATCACTGCCTACATCTGAAGATGAAACAAATCTTTTTGATGAAGGAAACAAAAGAGAAGTTTTTTTATCAAAATCTTTTTTAGTTCCTTCCCATAACTTATCAAAAGAGGGAGTAATTGGTTGAACTTCCACAAGTGGAGAAAAAACCTCCATGTCATCTTTGTAATTATAGCTTCTTGGAGCATGTAATCTTGCCAATCCACCGACCCTTAATGTGCTTCTCAGTGGCGTTTCTTCACTTGTAGATGACTCAGACATTGATGGGGTAACTAGCTCTGGGGAGGGTCCGGATCCTGCCCGGGAAATTCGGGCAGCAGAGATTAAATGGGCAGATGTTGTTGCTGATGGAAGAGGGTCAGGCATCACAATTGAATCATCCACAGTACCTCCCATTAAAGCTGTATCTGGTGTGCAAGTTTTCTCATTTACATATATTGGTTTTGATCTTTGCCAACATAAACTTGTCACAGCCTGATGTAAATAAACAAGATTTAACAAAAAAAAAGGAAACATAATTTAAATAAGATATATGAAGATGGGTTTACCTCAGAATTTGCATATGCACGAAGAACAGTAAAAGGTTGAGGCTTTGCACGAACATCATAAAACACCACCTGTCCAGTAGTTGTCCCAGCTGCTAAAGTATGTCCATCATCACGAAATGCCACTGAAGAAAAAGGGGATTCATAGGGTATGCAATATGAAGGTCTTCTTGATCCTGAGTCAAAAGTGTATAGCTTTTTATCCAGTCCCACACTAGCAATCATCTGTCAAAAACCAAATAAACTTGTAAAAGAAAGAACAATATAATTGTACAAAAATGATGATTCAGGTTGAAAGAGAGACCTTGTCATTTGAAGGTGAAAAACTAACACCAGCAGTTGGTGCAGAATGCTGCTTTAACCAAGAAACCTTTGGGTTTCGACCAGTTGTATCCCATAAATGAACAGAGCCATCATCGCCAGCTGTCACTAAAAGGTGTCTGCTAATCCGTGAATAATCAAGCACCCTCAAGACCTGAGAGCTCGAACCATCAGACAAACATCTAGCACAATCAGGAAAACAAAGGTACATGAATTACAAACACCAATAAGAACTAAGATTCTTAATGGTTTTGTGATGGATAGAAAGTTGGAGAAGATTTAGAAGACACACCTGTCCATTTGGATCCTTGAGTTCAGTAGCCCTTGCGCCTGATGCAAGGTTGTGAATTATAAGATCACCACTAAGACTAATGGAAGCTAGATGTTCGTCTTTGCAATTGTATTTCACATCTGTTATTGTGTCTGTGTGACCTTTTAACCACTTTATACACTTTCTTTTCTGTAAATCCCATATTCTCACAGTTTGACCACTTCCACCGGAACAAATGTAACGAGATGCTTTGGAACTGAAGTTGATTGTGAAAATAGACTCCTGCAACATGAGGAATCGATCAAAAGAAGGTACAATACAAAGAAGATTACCTATTGATTGTCTTGTGAAATTTGAGAGGCTATTTGAACCATATGAAAGATATATGTCGAACTGAAGATCAGCTCACCTCAGCATTGTCACCACTGTCGCTGCCGGCCGTAGGAATAGTTCCCATGCTTTGACCATTCTTTCGCCATAACGATATCCTTTTATCATCACCAGCACTAGCCACCACCAAATCTAATCACAACCCAATCTTAAAACTTCAGGATGGTTTTTGCAATTTAGAAGCTCGCAATCACGGCATTATATGAAAAACGGAAACATCGATTCTTTTAATCAAATTAAACCACCAAAAGGAGAAGAAAAGAAGAAACTTACTCGTATGATTCCACTTTACGGAGTTAACTTGAGAACCGGGTGAAGGCGTGTGGCTGAGAATACAAGGATCGCCAGGATCC